TCTCTCGTTACCTTGTGTGTATTTATTAAATTGGTTTTAATATTAATTCAACCAGCTGAAATTGGTTTGTAGATTATGTTACCAGATTTTAATAATAGAGATCAGTCTTTCATGTCAGATTGATATATTTTAAATTTAATTTTCTGTTATTATTCCGTTGTTATCATACTTTTATAGTGGAATATTTGAAGGTGTTTTTTTTGTCTAGACAGTAATTTTAATATGTGTTCATTAGTTATGATTTATACTGATAATATACAAGTTAGATTTAAGCAAAACAACATATCATTATCAGCCAATATATTACAGTTAATTGTTATAAATGTGCAGTTCAGTGTTTCTATTTTTTGTTAGCGATGCTGTCGACTTTGTCGAGCGGAGCTTATCATATGAGTGATTGTCCTCCTTCGCCCGTCGTCGTTCGTGTCAATGTTTTACTTTTTCAACTTTTTCTTGAAAACTACAAGTCTGAATGCTTTGATACTTGGTGTATATGTACCTTGGGTAGACCTCTCTCAGATTTGTTCATTTCATGATAATATCTGGAATTCTCTAATTTTGGTGAATATTTTTGTCATTTTTGGTTAAAAGTGATATTTTCGACTTCTTGTTAAAAACCGCAAGTCCAATTGCTTTGATATTACATATATAGGTACTACATGTGGACCTCTCTCAAATTTGTTCATTTCGTGATGATATCTTTAATTCTCTAATTTTAGTGAATATTTTTTTAATTTTTGCTAAAAAATGATATTTTTGAATTCTTGTTGAAAACAACAAGTCCTGTTGCTTTGATACTATACATATTGTTCGTTTTCAAATGATATCTTCTGTTCTTTAATTGCAATGTGCATTGCTAACAGCGGAGCTACATGTATCTCAGCCGACAGGCTGCTTGTTTTTACTCTGTTTCAGTTGCCAGTGTGTCCTTTCCATAGTGCCACTCCCATGTTTTTCCAGTCTAGTGGTTTTTGTGGTTACCATGACAACCATATGGGCCTAATACTAGACATGCAGGCCCAGTGTTTGTGAGGTGTGTCATTGTGTGTACACCAACAGTACCTCAATCCTCAGTCTGAAAATGCTTATTGTTGAAGTTGTGCCATAATGTGAATTCACAAAGCATGGTGGCTTTGTGAGTTATACGGTCAAGGTGGTTTGTTTGAGATTTTAATTTTGTTGCCAAGAATGAAACCCATTTTACAAATAAGTTTTAATGATATCACATTTTGACCGTACATATCGTTATTCTATATGATATTCTGTGGAACACGGTTTTTTGTAACCTTGCTGGAAGTATATCTTTTCAATACTTTGTGATGTTTGTATTGTGTTTTTTGTCCCTTTTATTTCTTTGTTAAACTATTAAAACATCGACAAATGATTTATTTTGGCTGATTCAAGGTGTGTTAAAATTGGTTGACTGGTTGAATATGTAATTTTGAAGATAGAAACATCTGCATTTTAAGATACTAAAAGTGTCCATAAAATCAAAATGATGATCTCTTAATGATGGGATAATTGTGGGCAGAATAATTTTGTCTTGAATATTGTTTACAGGTATTGGACAAAGATTACCAATATTTATGTTAAATCAGGGGAGTCATCACTTGCGCATGCGTCAGATGGCCGCAACATGTCATACTTTACAAACAAGCGTCTACCCAAGAGCCTTTGTGTTTTTAGCATGTGTTGTTATCGTTGCTTGGGACTCATGTGCAGAGAACGACCCTTTTGCTTCGATATTGATATTATACTTAAAAGAATAAAATTGAATGTCATAACAAAAACAATTTCTTGTTTTTTTCTTTTTGAATGTGATTTATTATAGTTTCCACAGCAGACAAATACATAAGTGTAGCGCAAGTTTCTGCCCCAATTATTAGTGGATGGTGTAGTTCAGCCACACAAAATGTGTTTGGTGGTAATAACAGCCTGTTTTGAAATTCGTAAGGTAGTTTAATTGTATTTTAATGTTAAATGGAATACTAAATCTGCAAAATCCTTTAATAACATCTGTGTTTCCTGACTGTAATGTGGATAACGACACATACATCTGCACGCTTAGGCTAAAATCTGTAAGTTAATTATATAAATCCCTTTTTAGTGTCACATCACAGATGGTATACATGTAACTTCCAAAATACCAATTACATAACAGCCAAAAATGATTTAACTTTCATTATGGTGTAATAAATAAAATTATTATTATTATAGCAGCTTAATTATTCTAACAATATACAACAGAATTGATTAACATATTGCATTGTCATTTAAATAAGCTATGTTATGCTATGCAGAGAAGACTACAGTTAGGTAATCCAGACATGCCTGAAGGTACAGACAGTATTAAGACTATATAGCCTGCAATTCTTAGCTTGGCTATTATGTGAAAACTTTTAAGGTGCTTTGGCATTAAAACTTGTTCTAAAACTTGGTTCTGTCTACTGCATGTGTAGTTGAATGTGTATTTATATTAATAAACTACCGGTAATTAACTTACCTTTGGCATGTTTTGTTTATTTCAAGAATATGAATCTCAAAGAAAAGTTTATTTTCTTATTAAGTTGCCAAAAAATGGCAATACCTCTAGCTCAGTACCCATCATAACTCTATTACATAATTGGGTCACTATTAATAATGTATAAGTGTAATAGTTTAATTCATCATTTTTCATTTTACTTAAAGTATTATTTTTTTCCTTCTTTTGTAGTTCTTAGTTATTTTTCTTAATGTTTGTACTGTTTTTTGTTTTTTTTATTTTCATTTATTGTCATGTATCGATTTTCATCTATTCCAATGGATGTTACATGTAAGTGATTAAAGATTATATTGTCTGGTAACAGTTTTCTCAAATAGATTGAACCTAGGTACATACATGGTATTTGTTTAAATAAATGACTGATTATTGGTTAATTTGCATGCTATAGCTACTTACATGTAACCATTATTAGCCTTTTTCCTTTGTGGTACGAATACAAGAAAAAAACATTCATAATACCGGTAACACTGAAAATTCCTTAGACTATGAAAATGTTGGGGTATGTTAATTGTTTTCAGATTAGGTTTGTTGATGGGAGGTAACTAATGGATGGAATATTTTAGTTTTGATTAGCAACAAACAGTTTTCACTTATTTTGACTTTTACTATCTATAAAAGAAATCCAAATATTATTATTTAAATTATTCAAATTAAAATTTTTCAATTGAATACATTTTTTATAACAAATTATGGATGTGTTAGGGAAGTGTTGGATTACTTAAATCACCATTCACCAAACGTTAATGTAATTTGGCAATTATAGCTAGGAGTATTGTCATTTTATTTTAATTCATGTTATCACATGTTTTTTTTCTCTGAAGTACTGCTTGGTCTGACATGCACTCTGACCCATGTTCAAATAACAATAGTGTATGTGCGATACCTTGTCTACTTGTAAATGTTGGTTGTTTCCTTTTCAGAAGTGTGATATTTACACTGAAATGTGCGTCCATATAACCACAGTCTAACAATAGAAATGACCTGCGTTACTGTGTACTTTGGGCTACTTGTTCTCTGCACAAACATTTCATTGAATTTTAATGTTATTTTTAGTGGGCTACATAGGAGACTGCAATATGCACTGAATAACGTCTTGGTAGGTGTGTTGAGTACAGTTTGTGTACAAAGTCAGTTTTATGACAAATGTATATGCATGTTGTGTCTCTTTAGAATAGCTGTATTTCAAATAAAAAGT